CGTTTGATCTTCCATGTCGCTATTATTTCATCTTCTCCCGCTCTACCTGTCCCTTTATCTTCCCAGCCTCGCTTTCGCTACCTCCGACGCAAAATCGACATCCTACCATGACGGCCACTCGTACGTTTCATCGATGCTGTACAAAATGTTGTCACCTTCTATGTACATATACCTAAACACAACAATACGAAGGATGTGACACGTAATACAATAATAAAATACTTCGAAATCTTATATACCACGAGATCAGTATATGTCTACTCCACCCCAAAACGCACCAATTACCTCATTTAAAACTAACCCTTGTAAATGGAGAACACCTATTAGATAAACGACCGGTGCAATTAGGGTAACTTGGCCGAATCCCTCACGCATTGGGTAAGACTCATTGGTTGGGGACTTTTAGCGGTCATTCCTGCACCGAAGGAGCAACTGGCCGAGCACGTACAAGTACATATGTGGGCCGCAGGCGGAGATGCTCGACCTATCTCAAGTCGGGATCAGTCTGGCCGCGGCTCGCTGTTAGTGGCATTTATAACTCATCGTTATTATTTGAGTTGATTTGAAACACGCGCATCCCCTCTGGTTCCGCCACTACTTCGCTACGCATCCATCCATCTCGCTCTATCGCACACACGTTCCCGCTCATAAATCGTAGCTCACGCACGCCGGTGTGTCCTACCGCTCCATACACGGCCACGACGCTCCACACGCGCGTCAACCAGTGCGTACCACCAGCTGTTGGCCCTGTATGCACTTTCGACATGCACCGCTTCAAGAAACGATCCGTGCGCGTATGCGCAAACGAAGCGTACTTGTCGGTACTTGGATCTAGGATTCGTTTAATAGCTCCGGCTCTAGTACCCTTCGCTTTTACGCATTTATGCGGAAAACGTAATTTCGACTGTTTATCGTTTTACCTATAGTGGATCTCCCGTACCCCGTAAAGTATAAAATATGATAAATAAGAGAATTTCCGAATTTTGAAATTGTCTTCTTATGGAATTAATAAATTCAATTAACCTGCCGACTACGTAAACTGCCATTCTTCGATGGTTACCCCACGGACCCACTGCCCTCTACGGCCGCGCCGCGTACTAACGGCGGGAGCAGCGCGAAATTTGAATCACCCAAGGAGCAGGGCCGTGGCGTGGCGTGGAGTGCCGCAGAAATACGTTACAGTACCCCACGACACTCTTTGGCACTCTTCGGCACTCTACGACACTATACGGCACTACAGGGCACTATACGGCACTATACGGCACTCTACAACACTCTACGGCACTCTAAGGCACGCCACGGCACTTTACGGCACGCCACGATCCATTACGGTACCCCATGGCACGTTACGGCACGTTACGACACGTTACGGCCCGCCGCGGCTCGGCCCGGCTGGCTCTGCTCCTTGGTGCGATTCAAATTCCGCGCTGCTCCCGCCGCTAGTTCGCGGCGCAGCCGTATAGGGCAGTAGGTCCGTGGGGTCCATTGAAGAATGGCAGAGTACATATATTTTGCCCTCTATATACAGGTATTGTTTAAGTAGTTTATTAGTTTCTATTTTCAACTTTTTTGTATATAAATGTATTCATGAGAAATTGTTATACATGAAAGTATTCCTGAATGATATCAGGTTTATCTTTAAAATATAGCGGAATGATATCACGGGTTCGGGATCGATACGAATGTCGCTGTGCATTCCTTCTGGGCATCAGGTCGAAATTCGGCATGTGCAGTTCACCGCAACCACGGCGATTAAATTCTCGTTAGGGACTGGAAGGAAAGCCGTATCGTTACAGATACAGCAAGATATCGTTTTCCAACTTTGAATGTCTCTCCGAAATTTGGAAGGATCAATGCCGAAGCTTGTCCACCTCTCGGCGGCGATGGTAAGCTCCGCCCTAAAGGAGGCCCCATCGCCCCGTGGTTCGCCGTGGCAAAAGGTAGGGCGAATTTGTCAGTATTAAATAAATAAGCCGTAAAAGCCGGAACATCAATCCCAGTGGAAGCATTAGCGCCTGATACGGGCGGGGCTGTTATTTTTCATACCCGGCAACGCCTTACGAGCGACCGACTGCCCGTTCGGCACTGGAAGGACTTCTCTTCGAGCTTTTTATGGTCTATAAGTTGGTTTATACGCGCCGCACCGTAGATCAAAAGTGATGTGTCTATTACGGCGTAAATACTTAACGACCGACCGGATACTGCTTTTTTGCGGATCCACCATCTCGAACTTTTCCCGGGGTAGTTTCTGCGTCGAGCGAGAATGGAGGGAATGGTCATGCATCGAAATGTAAATTTTCGCTGTTGCAGAGACCCGATCATGGATTTTTGAAAAGTATGTCTTTTATTTTTACACGATGGACAGTAATTAATAAAAGTATTTTTTAATATAAAAATGCATATATATATGTATATAATTAAATAGATGAGCTTTTCAACAGTGTTTATGCTTAATGCTTGTTTTTCAGCGCGATCATAAAGACGTAACGTTGTGTTCATTCAGTGAGTCTCTGCTGAAGGTCTGACGGAGCCGGATGTTTCGATTGACAGATATCTACCGCAACAACTGGAACCCTGCCGTGACGTTTTCTCATTTATCTTCCGAAGCTTTCCGGTCTATCGTTTCGTTAGAACCTAATCACCCACACTTCTGGTACACGCCCCCATGCATATTCAAAGAGTATCCGCTATCAATGTTTCCCACATGCCAGGGAAATAATCGTTATCTCCCTATACCACTCTTGCTCGGCAGTATAAAGCTAGAATCGGTTGCGATAATTCCGTCCCTATCTTTAAGTAAAGATGATTGTTCGCACCTAAATACGCGCACTTCCGCAAGATTTGGTCTTTTCCGATATATCCATCATCCACAAAATTCTACTACTACCTCCCAGAGAGAAGTATACAATGCCATTTGTGCAAGCTTCGAAGCCCGTACGGTCTACTTAAGGTTATGTGAAAGTGACATAAGGGGGATCTAGTTTATGAAACTTTTCTCCAAATAAACTATACCGAATCGTTTGGCATTTTACCACGCGAACACGGAGTCCCTAAGGAAGGTCTTGACAGTCGTGAATTTTCATGCATTAAAGTGTTTATTGATATAATTAAAATGTATAAAAAATTCAGGTTCATGGGTGTCAGGACCTTCTTTAGGAACTCCATATTCACGTGGGAAAATTTCAAATGATTCGATATACTGAGTTGAAAGAGAAGTTTCGTAAACGACTGATCCTTCAGATTCCACTTCTATGTCACCTTAACCCACTCGATCCAGAGGTTCACCTTGTTAGGATTCCAGAATAGATTGAACTCGCTCCTGAATATCTTCGCAAAACATGCCGCCATTCGCTACCATTATTCGTAACCGCGCCAATTTCCACAGTTTCGCGGCAACGATTTGATGGCAAGCTAGCGTTTCCAGCAGCGGATTGGACCACCAGCGGGTCAAAGTCGGCGAGCTTTTGCGCGTGGGATGTGCCGCTCGTGGGGGACGCGCCGAGTGCGTGTGCGATGAGGCGATATGCGGCAGCGGCAAAGACGAAAAGCAAGATCACCGGGGGAAAAGGCAACGGTCTGTCGATACAAGGAGTCGATTGTGGGCTGAAAGGCACCGCCAGGGCCGGCCCTCGCGAGCCGCACAGTAGACGTCTGTGCCCAATAGATTCGCGATGCTCAGATACCGAACATCGCGCGCCCCATCTCGAACGGCGGCACGCTATTAGCTCTAGCTTTGATTGGCCCCGCTTAATGGTCCGGGCGACACGCATATAAATTGCTTGCTTGCTTTGAAGATATTTTCAGGTCCCGCGAGAGGAATCGCGATGACGCTCCGCGTTTCGCACACGGTGACAGACCGCAGAGGCCGATTCGACGCGCCTGGAGCCAAAGAGAGCCGAAGGACGATCGATGACTATTCCAGGGAAGAACTAGTCAGTCGAGAGCGGATGCTTAATTAAACGCTTCGTATAAGGGAGGGAGATTTTGGGAATACGAGATCGAGGAAGTTATATTTTATTGATGAAGGAATATGTTGAGCTGCAGGGAAAAAAATGAATGGCGATGTGCGATTGACTCACACGTACCATTATAGTGGATGAAAATATTCCATCGGTACAGCTTGTTTAACAGCTTTTCGAGAAAAATTACCGATTTGCGCGGGCTCTTTTTATAATGATTTTATTAAATATTTATTTCGTAATGTGTTGTTTTAATGTTATTGTATATGTGTTTATTAAATGGGCGACTGTTTGATTATGCATCCGTGCGAAATAATTGCAACATATGTGACGCTGTGAAGTTAAGGGAGAAATGAACTGAGTGGCTAGGGAATAAAAGTGAAGGTCGAAAAGCGAAATTAACATGTCAGCTAACCTTGGTGTTCCGAGGAGTGACACTCCACGCCATTTCGGCCTAGTAGGAAACCCGTGGTGAAATAATATGTGAAAACACCATTCAGGTTAAAACACAAGTTTCGAGTCATTGATCGTGGAGCCCGTTGACGTCCAGGGCAGATTACCAATGGCCAACATAGGTTGAAGCGGGAACATCTACCGTAGCGTCAAGCTGAATGGCTCGTCTAAGGAGGTCTGGATAAAATCTTGAGACATCTTTGGGATCTAGCCAAGGCGGTTTTGGCGTGGAATTTATCAAAATTCTATTACACTGGTGAATTCTCTTCCTGTGCGCCCTGATTAAAATTGCCCATTGAGAAGAGACGCTGCCACGTGAAGATTAATTTCGTTTACAATTGTTCATACAGTTAAACAAGTTTTCCGTGTTCTTTATTTAATTATTTTTGTTCGCATTTGTAAAGTGAGATTAAGCGATGACTGAGTGAACGAATCTTACCTCGAAATTAGTTAAATCTTCTGCAAGAAGACTTTTATGTGAACCAAGAGGGTACGTTAATAAAAGTAGGGTTAGAAGAAGGAAGAAAGATTCTTGAAGACCTTGACTGAACGACACCGAGTTTCTTTCCGGTGGTCCCAACGCATACCATGAAGGTTTTCTTGCGATTGAAACCCAACTCTTTAAATGTAGAAAATAGTCAAGACCAAGAAGAAGCGTACACTATAGTCAGCTCGACGTCTCTCATCTCAAAGATCCCCATTCCTGAGCTTTGGGACGAATGTTCCAGGAAATCAAAAAAATTCAGCGAGCCGAGAATCACCAATAGAAAGTTTAGTTTCACGAAGATCTTTGGAACCCAGAGCACCCAAACAGAGATTTTCGATGAAGCTATCAAACTGCAAATATCGGACTTCTTACGAGGTCGAAGCTCAACGATCATGACCTATGGGACCAGCGACTCGGGAAAATCGTACACTCTTCTTGGAACTCCTACTGTACCTGGTATGATATCTCTCAGTATTGAATTCATTTTCTCAGCAGTAAATTGCACCCTATCACCTTGGTACAAGCCAGACAGCAGAAACAGGGCGATCAGTCTAGATGAACCCGGTCGTCTAATAGAAATACAAACTCGGAATAAGTTGTTATCTTCAAGATTGATCAACAGAAGTCAATGCAACGAAGAATATCAAAACCTAGAAGATTTAATAGAGAAAGACAGAGAAGCGTGCAATGATGCCATGAATTCCGTGTGGATATCATTTGCTGAAATTTATAACGAGATTGTGTATGATCTACTAGAAGAAGACGAGGACGGGAAAAATTTACCGCTTAAGTTGGTCACGGACAGTCAAGGTGCGGCTTTCGTGAAAGGATTGAGATGGATTTGTGTGACGACTGGCAAGGAAGCATACCAAATCTTAATGGCTGGGCAGACTAGGTTAAGTGTCGCAGCCACGTCTCTCAATCCAAGGAGTTCCCGGTCGCATTCTATTTTCACTATAAAGTTGATGAAGTACTCCAAAGAAAATGCACCTGAGGAAGTTGAAATCAGCACTGTGACGTTCTGCGATTTGGCTGGTTCTGGACGTACCAGGATGGCCTCGTGCAACGACAAGCTTCTTGCCGAGACGAGGAACATTAATTCGGGTTTGTTGGTTCTTGGTAGGTGTCTTAAGGCTATCTGGGAGTTCCAGACTTCGAAACAAAGCACCGAGGCAGTAGGAACATTTAGGGAGTCAAAGCTTACAAGGTTGTTCCAAAGAGCGCTTTCTGGAAGAGAGCAACTCACCCTTATGGTTACAGTTAATACCAGTCCGAAATTCTATGTGGACACGCAAATTGTTTTATATTTTTCCACTATTGCTGGGAAGATAATGTTAGATGTACCACAAAGGCCTTCCACTGGGGGAACGAGTTCTCATAGTCAGAAATCGGTGGGATGCTGGGAGGATTACACGCCACCTTTATTGCTATCTTCTGAAAAAGCAATAAGTGAAGAACAACAGGACAAAGAGGACTTGGAATTAGAAAACGAAAAATTAAAAGCAGAAATCTCTAGACTGAAGACTCTAGAGACAAAGAAGGAGATTGACATCAGGGAGGATGTAGCAAACGTGTACAACAAAATTATTAAAGACCTAGATGAGGGCTGGAAGGAGCGACTACAGGTCGTTGAAGAAGCTCAGGAAGGCTTACTGAAATGGTCTGTAACGACGGTCGAAGAATTCTATAAGGAACGAATCGATAGCATGGGAGGAAGGAAGCGTAGGCGAATTGAAAGCGGCGATTACAATGACGAGGATAAGGCGGTTCTTCAGGATCTAGAAGAGGAAAACGTTAGGATTACTTCGAAAGTGGTTATTCTGAAGGAGGAGGTGAAGAAACTGCGGGCGCAACGGGAAAAGGTCACTATTGAGAAAAACGAGAAATCCTTCACGATTGGTTTAATGAAGGAAGAACTCGACGCGCTGAAGAAGTCTATAATAGAGTTCGAAGAAGCGAACCCCTTAGTGGATGAGTCTGCGAGATTGGTTGATAGATTAAGGGAGTTGATAAAGTGCAAGGAAACAGAAGCAGCTACTCTTAGCGGGGACCTCGAGAGGGCAAAAAATGAGTATGTCAGAATAAAATCTACAAACGTAGAGCTCGAAAAAGAACTAAATGATGCAAGAACGGTATTGGATGAATATTCCGAATCGATGGACGCTATCAAGTCACAACTCTTGGAAAGGAATAAATATATAATGAACCTTCAGAATCAACTGGTAATCCTGAAACAGCAATTAGCAGAGATTGAAGCTGACAAGCAAGAAATTAAGGAGAAGTATAACAACGCCGAAGCGGAGAATGTAATTCTTTCCAAGAAACTTGAAGAATGCGAGGAAACTCTTCGGCAAAAAGAGTTAACTATATCTCAATTATCTTCCAACGTTGTAGAATGTAAGAAACCATCATTACATGACACGCGACTTGTTACCGAAGACGTAAAGCTGATTGCAAAAAAGATATCTTCCATTTCGTCATATCACGGTTCGGCCGTAGACACGAATGATTCGGAAATCGATGAAGAATTTAGCGAAATGGATTCCAAGTTTTTCTCGAAAGAGTTGCGAAGCGATTCAATCTTGAGGAATTCAGAATTCGATCGGATGTCCGAAGATATAAACTTCGAGGATGCAAACGACAGAACGAGTTTCCTAGAAGCAATCGAGAGGGTTTATCGTTGCGCGTTTCGATCAGTCGTGGATAGTAGCAAGGACGATTCCGGAATAGTTATGAATAGCGATACCGGAAGTAGAAAAACCAGCACAGAAAACAACATTCCTATGGTGGAACTCCACGAAAAAAGTGTTCAAACGAGTCAGAGTCAAACGAACACCTTCATTCAGGGACGGGTAGAGCAGCTTCAGTTAGATTATACGAACCTGAAGACGCAGCACCTGCGAGAAACTCTTCGCGTAACCGAGCTTTCGGAAGAGCTGGAGAACGTGAAATACACAATGCAGACTTTGAAGGAGACCTCACAAGATGGTGAACGCCGCGTGGAAGACTATCGACACAGATTGGCGTCAAAGGAAGAGGAAATTGAACGAGTGGTCGAGGACAAGGTCGATTTGGAGAAGAAGTTGAACGAAGCCTTTAGGATGCAGGAGATAAAACGCTTGGAATACGAGAGAAAAATCGATGAGTTAAAGGGCAGGTTGAAAATCCGCGAGCAAAGCGAGGATCGTACATCAAAGTGCTTAGAGGAGTACCTGGAAAGATCAGCTACATTGGAGAGCCAATTGTCAGTGGTGCACATGCAGCTGGAGAGAGCTTCTATTAAATGCCTTGCCGAACACGTGCCAAGGATCGATAAATTGGAGAAGGACTTGTCAGGCAAAACGTTGCTGGTCAGCCAATTGGACTCGAAATTGTCCGAGGTTGAACGAGACCTGATCAGGGTTTCGGAGTTGGGTGAGAAGGTAGCCGAATTCGAGAACACTTTGGACAAGTGTCAGAGGGAGAAGGATGACCTGAGGAGACAGCTCCACGAGAGGTCCGAGTCTCAGGCTAGTTTAGAGTGGAAGCTAAAGAGGTTGACCAATATTGTCAAAGAGAGGGATACCGATATCACAACGGTGAAAACCGATCTGGGGGAGATCGTCAGAATGAATTTGGACAACAGCGAGATAGCCAAAGGACTCAGCAAGGAAGTGATGGACGCTTTCAAGAAATTAAACGTCATAAAGGAGGAGCAACTACGATCAGAGGAGACTAGGAGGAAACTCGAAAGAATGTCCAGGCAGGAAGCGAGCAATTTGAGAGCAAGGTTAGGGGCCTTCGAAAGAAACGCAGCGCTTCTTAACTTCGTCAGAGAGAGTAACGAGAACGCTCAAGATGAGCTGGACCGATTGAAGATTTTGTTGCACGAGAAGGAAAGAGAGATGAGTCTTTTTAAGAAAAATCGGGACACCACCATCAGAAAGTATGAATCTCTTGTCAGGCAGCTTCAAATTGACCTCGAAAGAAATGAGCGACAGTCCGGAAAAATAGGAAAAATATTTCAAAAATGTATCAAGGAAGATTCTAGAGGGGAAAGTAGCATTTCAGGAGTATGTAAAAAATCAGACAGCGTACCAATAGTAATACAAAAGAAGGAAAGTTCCTCCAAAATTTCCGATAGCTCGAAATCTTCCACGTTGTCAAAACATTCGAGTCTTCAAACGATAGTTCCATCTACAGATCGGATAGCGATTGCAACGCGCGAGGATCATCTAGAAGTTGAAGAGGGAATTGCGAAAGCTGGATATATTCAGGTAACGAAATTTCTTTCCGATTATTAATTTCTCCTTTTCTCAATACAATTGAAACATTCCAGGCGGAGAGCAAATTAAAGAAGGAAATAATCTGTCGGGAGCGACCAGAATTAACTAGAAAAACAAACATTGGTTCGACAGCGTCAGCATCTTTAGTCAAAGCACAAACTGACCAATCTATGGGCGAATTCAAATCACAAATACCGCGACCAGTGGAAATAAAAGAACACAATGAAACATTAAATGTTTCGATTCTAAATAATAAATCTACCACGAGTTTCATTCCACACCCGGACCCTCCACCCCTCGGATGATTATTTACATTTTCTCGAATTTTCGAGGATTTTCTTGTTTTTTGAAGTGTAAATATTTATTTGTATTAAAATACGTTTTCGTTCAAGTTACACGAATTATTATCACGTCATACCACGTTTCATTTGTTAAGGAGCGTTGATACTGAGCAGGACGCTGAGATGTTACTATTGGCGATGTGGTAAACTAACATGTTACAATAAACATGGTAGCATTGTAAATTGATTACCAACGTCGATACCGTACACTGTTTTCGTAAAGGTTCATATAATTTCGGTAAGAGGCTTAACGATCGATTCGGCCTTTTTATGTATCAAGGCCCCTTAATCTTTAATTCCTAACGGCAACGTATCATCAATATTGTTCTTAGTTAAGTTATATTTATTTTATCAATAGTCGTCCTATTGTCTTATCCAAGTTCCTCGAAACACGAATTATTTAAATTATTTATTCAAGTCATCTCCTAGCTGACCAGCAACAAAAAGTGAGATTTGAAAACAACTAAGTTGCGTGATCCGCACCTAAATGGAGCAACGGGGGTAATGCTCCATCACTTGAATTGCGATAAGGGGATTATCGATAGTCGATATTGGCTGAAGCAAGTCCCTCGAGGGGCGAGGACGTAATGGCGAAACGTGGTTTCTCCCGATGTTACTTACAATAAGTCCGGTATCCCTAGACCTCGCGAACGACCGATCCTAGCCAGGGGCGGCCTCGAGATTTTATTGCCAATATGCTATAATTTCTGGCATTAGATGTCGGAGATGCTTTCCCCGATGCTCATTACACCCCCGACGTGATTCCTCCGCCGAAAATGGCGTTAACCCCCGGCTTCTTCGGCATCTTCTGATTGGAAATTATGACGGGACTTCTTTGCTCCGTGGCTTCCAGCAGAGGCGATCATCTCCCCTTTATGGAACCACATACGGACTCCGAATGTTTTTCATTAGCATCGCTTTTATTTCCTTTCGACCCTCCCTGATCACGGTTCCTGATCACTGTTACGCTTTTCGTAATAATTCTGAATAACCATATGGAAGGGATTAACGAAGTTTAAATTATGTCCATTTATTTATTGATTTCCTGACTAAACAGTCTGAGCTTATTCCCAACTTATAATACGAAATTATTCCCACAAATCTCACGGATAAATAATTTATCTTTGCAAGGAAAATTAATTCTTGCATGCAACGTCTTCCCTGGTATTGGTGCTTAGGTTACAAACGTAAACAAACGATTTTTAAACCGAGATATCAATAAAATGAAGTGGCAGGCAGAATGCAGAAAAATAAATTATAAAATGTTTCCTTTAACTCTTTGATTTTTCTTTCACCGTATTTTCTTGGAAAAGTTGGCGGATTGAGAAAATCGCAGAGGTGGTCGTTATCAGGGCTTAGACGATGGCGACCTCGACGGTTTTCCCAATGGCGGATCTCGCGAACCCATTTGCGCCAGCTCACCTTCTTGCCGGCTGGTGATTTCTCCGGGCAAATGTACCGCGAACTTTCCTCTTTCAATTGGCAATAAGATTTGATCGTTGCGGGAAATATCATCCAATTTCCTTTCTCTCCCTGGGCCGGCTAGAACATTGCGCGGCTCCGGCAACGCCTCCGACTTTAGCAACCCTCTTCGGCTTCCTTCGGATCCTCTTCTCTTCCACAACTCGCCCTATTACCCCTTGATTCTCTACCCTTCTTCGGCATCCAGGAACCCATCTTCATCCCCTACTTCGTCCATTCGTTTCATCAGCGCGGACGTTATTCCCTTCGGATCCGGGTATTCTCCAACTTGCGGATTTCTCGAGGATTTTAGATTCGGACAATTATCCTCCGACGTTCGCCACTTTAAAGCTCCAGCGAATCGCATAACTCCAATATTATTTCTAGAAGAAAAATTTCTCTTGCGTGTAGAATCTCAAGCATTCCGTACCTATGGAGAAATTAACGAACCGGAATAAAGTACAAGAAATGTAGACTGGATGAATTTTTAAGAAAATTGGTAGCACTTAATGTAAAGCATAATTTGATGACTTCCATGTAGAGGTTCGCTACCAAATCGAAGCACAGCTTTACAGTAGGCAGGTTGTACCTGGTAACACTTTTAATTTTATATATTAGTCATAAATATGTAGTTCAACATTTTCACAAATTTACCCGCAGCGCACAAATTCAATCGACTGCGGGACGAAAGATTTGACGATTTTAAAATGGTTTCTTCCTTCATCAGGAAATGGAAAGTAGCGATCACGTTAATTAAGCGAACCCTTCCTTCGAAAGTTCCGACCTTGATCTCAGAAGTACACCTTGGGCTTACGTTAAGAGGGGAGGTTCGAAAGGCTACCCCTCGCTCGATCGCGAGGGTGAAAGTCCGGGAACGAGGGTAAAAGGGATGGAAAGTCATTTCGGGAAAGTTTCCGCGAGACATTAGTTTATAATTCGGCAATCCCGGATCAGTATTTGTCACGATTAGCCGATCCTCTCGGTCCACAATGGCGGCGCAGGAGCGGGTCTGCCGGATCCCTCTTACTCCAACCCTCCCCCGGAATCTCACGAGGAGTTTTCATTAATTTCTCCAATTCGACCGAACTATTGTCGTAGTTACGCACAATTTGAGCGCGACAAAGCCCCGCTTCCTGGGGATTGACGTAGACGCGCGAGAGGGTTGAGAGGGAGTGAGGAGTTATAATATCCAGCAGAAAGGGGTAAGTAAGGGATCCGTCGCCGAATATAGAACGAACGGATTTCGGGGGTGCGGTATGGATGGCGCTTCGCGTGTCATTTGCCCCTTGAGTTAGATTCGAGACAATTTCCTTCGAGTTCCGCCAAGTAGGATTTTCCTCGAATTTCGCGACAACGGAAAATTCACCGGTTAAGGAAAATCCGTTCGTGATTTAACCTTCAAACGAATAAATTTTCATTGCTACATTCCGTAAAATGGTCGAGCGTAATCACAAAGAAAGATTTAATTCTTTCTCAATTCTCGATTCCGTTGCAAATATTGTCAAATTAAACGCGTGTCCTATTATACATATTGCACTGTTCTTCAATTAGGTATTGCGTACAATTCAAGCAATTCGCATTTGTTATTCCACTCTTAGAGTTAAAGTCGAGATTTCCCTGGGTTTTAATGAATATTTTGAGAAACATTTTGCAAATATTGTCAAATTAAACGCGTATCCTATTATGCATATGGCACTGTTCTTCAATTAGGTATTACCTTCAACTCAAGCAATTCTTATAGAGTAAATCGTTTCCAAGGATCGCCATCGAAGGTCGGGAGCTTTGACAACCACTGCATAAATATCGGCAAGAATTAGCGAACAAGTTACGTCTCCGAAGGAGTGGAAGGAAGAACAGGAGGTGGGGAGCAAGTAGGGGCGGCGAGGAAGGAGACGACTAGATGGCGAGAGAAGGAGAGAGAGGCATCTAAGGGGGCCGCGGATCGAAAGAGGGAGAGGGGACGATGCGACGCGTGGGAGGGCCGCGAGAGGATCCGGCGGGCGAGCGAGCTCCGAACAATAAGCAATAATACGTAATGCAATTCAAACGTTGAGGCTGGCAATACTCCGAACCGACTGGTACAATGCCGGGAAATGCAAGGCAGGCATTTCCTGCAAACGGGAAAACGGAGACAATCGTACAATACGAACGTTCGGTCTCTCCATTGCATATTTGCCTTTACGCAACTCCCCACCGAGCGTTTTCGCGCGATATTACGCAATCGCGTGGAAACGCGCGCGGGCCCTGCATCGCGACACTTTTAATTCCAGGGCACCCTGCGGAAATGCCGAGGAAGCGTTTCCGTTCCTGATGCGGTGCGGCCCTGCGTAGCCAACCCCCAATGTTGAACGCGAACATCAGGGGACGTGCCGGAAAGTCCGAAAAGGAAACCCACCGCTAATTTTAGAAACTGCGTACAGATTCTTTTAATCTTCGTCAACTTGATAGAACGGTAAATGTTCAGTAGCACCACGTAAAATGCGACATGAAAATCAGCACTATGAATGTTTAATCGGAGAAAAACCGATTCTTTAGTACCGTTTCCTTACTTGGGAGTCAGCTACATTCTCGACTATAATGGCCCCGCTGTTGATTCGGCTTGATACTCAACTACGTTTACGTTAATACAAATGATTCTGGGAATCTTTGAAGTACTTATTAGACAGAACTTCCGATACACGTGTACCAAAATTGCAAAGACAGCGCTCGAAACGTCATTTTAGGGTCCCACCAAAGCCTGTCCATGCGCAGATGAAGTTCCTCAGGAAGTTACCCGGATGGAGGGAAAGGAGATGGCGGCCGAAGTTTCCGTGCGGCAACCCAGAGGGATTTCGAGTGGACGAGTTCACCGGGGTCTCGTGGGGCAACTGAAATCTCCATGGGAAAAGGGAACGCAGAAAGTGGACCGGATTTTTCAGCTCACGTAGAGGAGAGAGCTCGCTCCTGGACGCGGACGACGGTGACGTATCGTATCGCCGCTCGATTTCGCCGCGGGCCATCCGGGCTATCCGACCATCCGGCCGGAGTCCCTCGGCGCAACTTACGGCGATTTTATTTGTTTTTACATATGGGACGAGATAAGAAAAGTGGCCCGCGATATTTTACGTTTTTATGCGGCAGACCGTGCCTTGAGGTGTTGGCCGGCTGCGGCGCGACCCCCGGCATGGGGTGCCTCGCCACCCCCCTATAGGCGTTTTATACGCCCCACTGATACGCGAAATAAGCCGCCCCCGGCTACGTTGGCAACCCTTATCGCCACGTCCACCCTCTCTTGGCTTCGGGAACGGATGACCTGTCTGTAAAGTCCTCGATAATTCGATACGACGCTCGCGGGGCTGGCCGACTCTATTTGTCATAACGTCACGACCCCGCGTCTCTGCATTCGTTTCGAAACGTAAGAACACGGCAGCGCGCTTTTTGTCCCTTACCGTGATAAGGAAAACGAATAATCTCGTGGTATTACTTTTTTCTTTAGGGAGACGGTATGGTCATAAGTAGCCAGGGCGTGCTTCGGTTGGGAGATTTCCCGAGTCTAGAAGAACGTGGGGACGTAGTTCGGGAATCGTACTCTCATGAACGAAGAGGAAATGAATTTATTCTTATACATGATGTTATGGAGTTAAATTTGCAGGCAGGAAAAGGAAGCTTATTTGGCAACGTTGTACTTGACGTAATATGAGTACTCT